TTTCCACGCCAAAGTGAACTTGTTGTTTGGTTTCTGTAATATGGACATTCTTTCGATGCTTGAATTTCGTTAGTTTCATGCTAGTACCTCAAAAGACAGAAAATTAATGCCGTCTAGTGATAGACTTGTGTTTGAGCAGTTCACTTACCGTCCCAGCGTGATCGTCTACACCATCGTTTTGCGCATGTATGGACAAGTCGGGAAGATCAAACTCGCTGAGCAGACCTTCCTGGAGATGCTTGAAGCAGGTTGTGAACCTGATGAAGTTGCTTGCGGCACTTTGCTATGTACTTATGCACGATGGGGGCGCCACAATGCTATGCTGTCATTTTATTCTGCCGTGGAGGAGAGGGGAGTCATGCCTTCTGCTGCAGTTTTCAACTTTATGCTGTCCTCTCTGCAGAAGAAGTCACTCCATCAAAACGTCGTAGACTTGTGGAGGAAAATGGTGTATAAAAGGGTGGCTCCAAACGGTTTCACTTATACAGTCGTAATCAGTTCTCTCATCAAAGAAAGTTGCGGTGATGAAGCTTTGCAAACTTTTTATAAGATGAAGAATGCTGGTTTTCTCCCTGAGGAAGTAACCTATAGCCTGCTCATAAACTTTTGTACCAAAAATGGGAGTTGGGATGAAGCAATCAGTCTTTATGAAGACATGAGATCTCTGAAAATCATCCCAAGTAATTATACTCGTGCTTCACTTCTCACTTTGTGTTATAGAAAAGGAGACTACTCCAAGGCACTTGCTCTTTTCTCGGAAATGGGAAGGTATAAAGTTGCTCCTGATGAAGTCATCTATGGGTTGCTCATTAGAATATATGGCAAACTTGGACTCTATGAGGATGCTGAGAACACATTTAAAGAGATTGAGCATCTGGGCCTACTTACGGATGAGAAAACGTATTTAGCTATGGCGCAGGTCCATCTTAGTTCGGGAAATGCTGAGAAAGCTCTGAATGTCATTGAACTGATGAAGAATAAGGAGATTCGGTTCTCCAGATATGCCTACATTGTCTTCCTGCAATGTCATGTCAAAAGACGAGATTTAGATTCTGCAGAATGTGCCTTTCTATCTTTATCGAAAACTGGATTACCTGATACAGGTTCTTTCAATGACATGCTCAATTTGTATATAAATTTGAACCAGACAGAAAAGGCCAAGGAGTTCACTTTCCAGATAAGAGAAGACCTAGTCAAATGTGACGAGGAACTTTTCAAGACCATTATTAGATTCTATTGCAAAAATGGAATGATAAGCGAGACTGAGCAGTTTGCTCAAGAAATAGGGGGAGTTGGATCTTTTGCAGATAATAAATTTGTGCAGACATTTTACAGGATCATTCATGGAGAATTTAAAGGACAGGAAAAATATGAGAAAAGTATTGTGGTTCCTGATCCTTTTGACTCTATGGCTCTTGGGCTGATGCTTACTCTGTACTTGGCTGATGGTAGTTCAAGGAACACGGAGTACATTTTGAAGCTGTTGCTTGAAACTGCTGATGGGCTGTCAATAGCCAGTAAACTCATTGGAAAATTTGTAAGAGAAGGCAAGTCATGATATCAATGCATTATTCTTCATCCTTGAAGCTTTACATGTGCTGATATGAATTCAGTTTAGTTAGTTTGAGTAGCACATCATTGTTTCTTAGCCTAGCTATCATTTAGCATCTTCGCTGGTGTTGCTTTCTTACAAATCAAGGCAATTAAATGTATGCAAAACCTTGCATTTAAATTAATGGTGCACATGCGGTGCCTCCTAGTTTGTGTGCCTCTGACCTGAGAATGGCGATTTGCTGTTTGATGGGAGAGTATGCTTCTTTACCCTGTGACTTTTGAGGTTAGACTATTTTGGTTTGTGGTTGCTTACTTAAACTGAGTTTGCGTTTCCTGATATCTGTTGCAGGTGACATTTCTAAAGCAGAAGCTCTAAACAATCACTTGATAAGGCTTGGTTGTAGAGCAGAGGATGAAGCAGTTGCTTCTTTGATTAGCTGGTACGCAAAAGGAGAAGAGCTGGACAAGGCTGAAGCTATATTTTTGAAAGCGGATTCTCCTTTGTCTGGGAAAGTAGTATTTAAGTGTATGATTGATGCATATGGCAAATCTGGGAGACCAGAGGATGCATATTCGCTATACAGAAAAGCAACTGAGAAAGGCCACGATCTTGGTCCTGTTACAATCAGCATCATTGTGAATGCTTTGACTAATGGTGGTATGTTTTTTCATGAAGTTGACTTACCATGTCACCATTCTTAAGGGTCATCTAAGGGTAGAATATGGATTCTATATAGATTGATAATTAGGAATTAACTGACATTACTCCCGACTTCGATAAGCTATGTGGATTCTAATGTGAATTATTGAAACTTCTTGTAGGGCTTCAATCACAATATAATAAGAAATTAGGGTGTTTGTGCTGAGTTCTTTTCTTTTAGTGTCTGTTTGCTCCACTGTTGATGAGTATGAAAGAGTTGTTTCCAGGAAAGCACCAAGAAGCAGAGGATATAGTTCGAAAGAGTTTGCAGGAGAGTTTGGAACTTGATACTGTATTGTTCAATACATTTATCAAGGCGATGCTCGAAGCTGGTACTGTCTTCTGAGATGTACGCATAGAAAGGCTCACAGTTAAACCATTAGGTATTAACTGAGCCTTTTTTTCGCAGGAAAACTGAACTTTGCAGAAAGAATATATGAGCAAATGCTTTCTCTCGGGGTTGCTCCATCAATTCGAACCTTTAACACCATGATCAGGTAAGGCTTGATGATGGGCGATTCTTCTGCTAATTAACTATTTAAGAAATACTACAGTAAGGCTGTTGGAGAGTTCTGTTGTGGTGTATCACTGTTATGAATGTTGCAGTGTTTACGGACGAGGTGGCAAGTTGAATAAGGCTGCAGAGATGTTTGGCACAGCAGGTGGCTTGGCTTTGCCTCTGGATGAGAAGGCGTATATGAATCTGATTGGCTTTTACTGCAAGGCTGGTACGGATCTGGGGCCCTGTTTTTCAAACCACTGGTACTTGAGTAGTTCCAAAAAGTGTGTGTTGCCATTAAGCCGCAGAACGACAATGGAATCATGAATTTGGAAAATCTCAAGAGCTTGTTGGCTGCTCTAAAAATATGTTTTCATTACAGATAAATCCAATGGCTTTGCAAAATGAATCAACCGATGAAGCATACCATTCTATCTAGTTCTCCACATATTTTGGCTAAACAATTACTTTTCTTGGCCTACTTGTTGGGAGCAGTACCCGCTGATTCTTCCTTGTTACAGGTGAAAGACAAGAAGCTTCCCTGCTATTTGCCAAAATGAAGGAAGAAGGTATTAAACCAGGAAAGGTGGGCATGCTATTTATTCTTATTTAAGGAGATTTTAACACTCTGTAGTCATCAAAGTAGATTGTTTCAAGGATTATCTCCATTAAATCATTACGGGACTTCTTGTTGAATCCCTGGCTCCAAATGCATTGAAATATTCATCCTATCCGCTCCATTTTCTTTCTTTGAAGTGAGTAGGATAATTATGTGCTGAACATTTAAAAAGCCAGCTCAATTTATATGAAGCAGCCGATCTTCATTACTATACTATATATACTTTGTTTCTTACCAAGCGTCTTGGGCACGTCATTACATAATGCAGGTTAGCTACAATGCCTTGATAAACTCATGTGCATCTGCTGGATGGTATGAAGAAGCAGAGGAACACTTCCAGGCCATGCAGGGAGATTGTGTTTTACCTGATTCTTTCACGTACCTGTCTGTTATTCGAGCCTATGCAGGGTGTGCGAAGTTCATTGAAGCAGAGGAAACCCTGAAGTCTATGCAGAGGGAAGGAATTTCCCGCTCTTGCGCTCATTACAACCATTTGGTGTCCGCATTTGCAAAGGCAGGTCTGATTAGAGAAGCCGAAAGAGTGTACGAAGAAATGCTGGAGAATACTGGGTCAAGCCCCGATCTTGCATGTCACCGCACCATGTTTAGGGGTTATTTGGACTGTGGGTGTGTCGAAAAAGCAATCGGTCTTTTTGAAAAGATACCGGAGCATGTCGGAGCGAACAGGTTTATGTGGAGTGCAGCTATCCATTGTTATCGGTCTGCAGGAATGACGGAAAAAGCGGAAGCTGCCTTGAACACAATGAAAAACAAGGGGATCACATTCTTGGAAGACCTTAAAGTGGGGTCGCAGTTAAAAGTATGAGATTGTGGTGTGTGAGAGAGAGAGAGCGCGCAAATATTTGGTGACATGCCTAATGATGGCAGCAACCGGCCATGATCGCGGTATGTACGATATTCTGACCATCGATTCATCATCCGTCGTTTGAGAAGTGGCTAGTTAACTCAAAACACTCGAGCTGGAATCTCGACAACGGGAGGATGAGCAACGAGTGCCCGAGAACATTTGCAATGCTCGTGCTATCCTATATAAATGGCGAAGAGGCGAGACCTGAATTGGACTTGGGTACCGCATGATACTAGATGCTAATGAGGAGGGGTTGAGCTGTGCTTCTCGATTCATCATTTTTTCTCCACTTTCTTGAGGAGATGTTTTCCTCTGCCCATCCTTCCTTCCATGTGAAATTCCATTCAATGTAAGAGAAGAAAAGCATGACAATCGACGACCCTTTTTAACAAAAACCGACATTACTCTATGCTACGCCTCTCTCTCTCTCTCTCTCTCTCTCATATTCGTGATTATTAAGCATGTATCGAGGCCAGCAAAACAAAAGGCGTGAAAGTGTCGATACTTCCTTCCAATTCAGGGAGAGGATCATTGAACTGATCAAAACTCGGAAGAAATTGTTTCAGTGACGAGTTGTTGGGACACCATACGAAGCTGAAGCTGGTGGGGGATGAGTTATTGGGCTCCGAAGAAACAATGTCATATCCATGAACAGCAGGGCCGTATCGTCTCCACGGCCCAGCCGTGCATTTCCCCAAATCCAAACAAATACCCTTTTCTTTTCTTATTGTAATTTGCTACGCTCTCTCTCCATATCTCTCTCTCTCTCTCTCTCTCTCGGGTGTCGCCTTGTTCTTCTGGGCATATTCTTATCTTCTTCCTTCCTTTTTGTGTTTTTTCCGGGGGAGAGCGAAAATCAATCCTGCCGTCTCGAAAGGAATCGAAGCGATCAATGGCGTCCAACCTGTGGAGAGCGGCGATCAGATCGTCGAGATTGGCATCGACCGTCGTCGGAAGGAGCTTCAGTAGCGAAGTCCCCCAACCCTCCTCCAAATTCCCTCTCATCAGCGAGCACACTGCCAAATGGATGCAGGTCCTCCTCCTCCTCCTTCCTCTTCCTCCTCATTTCCGTCCGTCGTTCCTCTGTAACTTAGCTCCCTTCGATTCTTTGCTTTTCAGCTTCTCTCTCTGCGCCTGCTTCATTAGTTTGCTTGAACTGCCGCTGTGCTTATGATGTTGTGACCGACGTTACTCCTTTCTCTTGCAATAATTAGGGTTTATTTAGCCAAGGGTGGGTTATGCTACTTCGAATTTGTTCGAGATATCGGTTGCGTATACAGAAAAGAGAAAAAAAAAACAGGAAAAAATAAAATTAGTGTTCCGTAGCATTCGGATGCCTTAAGTGGCTATCTCAAAACTGATGAAGTATTTAGCTTGGCATACTTCCGATGGGAATCCTGGGTGGTCTGAATCTTCTAATTTGCATTTAGAATCCGATACGAGCTTTTGTTTCTTAGTAGTTTATCGTTTTTGTTCGGTCTTATTGTCTTCGATCTTCAGAAGAGTGGGTTGATTGGGGTATTTGCCATTGGAATGACATGAGCAAAGTTATCTCCCGGCCTTAGTAATATTACCAGAGGCTCGTTTTCGGAGGAATTTCCTCATATCGTGCTTTAGCTCCACTTTCTGGTTCTTCACATGACATAAAATGAGGATGATGCTATTTAGAGTAAGCTGAAGAATTCATCCTATGAAGCACGAGATAGAGCTTGCTAATGTATATTTATGGCGTCACTGCTATGTCCCTTAGTAGGGACCTTCTTCTTGATAACGTAATAGACTTCAGAAACTGAAGAACAATAGAAAAGGGATGGCAATTAGCTACTATTTAGATCGGAGGTTAGAACTGTGAAATTCTGCCTGGATGCATTAGAGACAGCGTTTTTGTAGGTTCTGAACCTTGCGATCAGTCCGAAGGAGTGCAGCCAATTAAATGTTCCCTTTCTTTTTACTTCGAATTTTGGTTTCCAGGAATGTGCTAACCTCTCATTCGCTGGAGTGGGTTTGGTTATATCTTTCTGTCTTAGATGAAGGGTGTTTAAGCATTTACCTGGGAAAATTTAATCTAAATATCCTATTTCTTCAAAATCTAATTAATTTTGAAGGAATTTTGCGGACTGGGAAGTCTAGGAGATGAGTATTGAACTTGTTTCTAGTTATCGATGTGGTGTTTGTTGGATCAGAGTCCGTCCTTTCTTTGGTTCTGATATTTATGGTGAATCCAAGAAGATAGGATTCCTTATCATTCATAACAGGGCAATCGGTCTTCTTTGACCATCACCTTGTTATGAGGGCAAATGAGGCGTGACTGACACATGGGAGGTGCGAAGCAATCTGGTGTCAGATGTAGTTAGGTGGGACGATAGAAAGGTTACCCTGTTCTGTTTGACCTCCCCTTTCCCCAATGTCCTTGTATACATCCCGTATTCATGTTATCATTTGGCTTTGTTTGCACATGTAGGTTTTTAGTTTTTTAAACACGTGTATGGACTAGCATTTTTCTCCCGACCATGTTTTTTCGCTGCAGCTTCGATACTGCATTGCTAAACTATAAAGAAACTTTTGTGGTGGAACTCTGTGGTCATCTTGAAGTTTTGCTTCTTCTTAGGATACTAGCAAGAAATCTCCAATGGAGTTGATCAATGATGTCCCGCCCATTAAAGTTGAAGGCAGGATAGTTGCTTGTGAAGGAGGTCAGCCACGGACGGTGCCTTTACCTATTTGTTCTTAGTAATATGATGTGAAGTCGATTAATCTAAATCAACGATTTGTTTGTTCTCCATTGCAGACAGCAATCCTGCGCTGGGGCACCCAATTGAGTTTATCTGCCTTGACTTGGATGAGCCTGCTATCTGCAAGTATTGTGGCCTGCGCTACATTCAGGAGCATCATCATTAGCAACCAAACATCCCTGCATGGATGTCTCGTATTTGTCTTTGGATGGTATGACATGCCCTTTTCGGAGCGAACTAGTGCATTTGTATCGACAATAAGGGTTAACCCCCCAGAATCAACCTTGGAATTGCATTTGTGAACGGAATTGTCTTCCTATTTTCTTATTAAATATCAGTAATCTTCAGATACAACAGGAGGACCGCCTTCATCATGAATCTTTTACATTTCAAATGTAACCGGAAATTCAAGGGGCCAAAAAAATGAAGAAAGATGCAATAACAATGGCCAAAATAAACGAGTGCCAACCATCGCTCGCTACTAATTTGACTAAAATCCATATCAAAATCCCCTGCTTCCAAGGGGAAATGGGAATAATAATATCTCAGCCCCTAAAAGAATTACAAAGAGTAGGGCTCCTCATAAGTTAGCCATGTAACTCCAAACTAACTGAAAGGCGCTCCATCCCTGAAAGTTTTTGCAGTGACCGAAAAACCGCTTGAAGTGGTCAGAGCACAGATTGGTGCTCTCGCCAGCCATATCAACTCTTGCCTAGACTGCAGCTCTGCAACTTCAGACCTGAAGAGTATCATGCACCGCCATTCGTCTCTTCACCAGCTAGCTTCCTTCTCTGTTGATGTTCTGCAACCTTATAATCCACTACTTCTCGGAACAAGGCAGGATCGAGCACACATTGCTCGCTCCCATAAACAGCAGCTTGGACTCCAGCCATTAACTTGGCTATTTCTCTACCTGAAAATCCTTCTGTTTTAGCTGCGGCTTCCCTTATCACATCATCGGTCAATCCTTTAATCTCTATCTTCTGTTGTTGTTTCTTGAACAAATTTTTAAACCATCCAGATTTTCTTGCCCCAGCTTGAGCAATATACTTATCCAGATATAGCTTTAGAAGCTTAAACCGTTCCTCCTCCCCAGGTAGAGGGAATTCGAGGACTTCATCAATTCGGTCTGCTACAGCTGAATCGAGATCCCCAGGGCGATTTGTGGCAAGAACAAGAACAATGTCCTTGGACTGATCACCTGTTCGAAATAGCATCGCATTGAGTGCACTTCTTTGTGCTTCACTCATGTAAGTTTTATTCCTCCTGCAATTATCATTTTGAGATCAACACAATGATGCAACAAATAAATGTCAATTCTAGGCATGAGCGAATACTTCGAGATGCAGAAGTAAATATTGCATAGGTTGAGTTTGAAAAAAGAAATGCATAGCTATGCACATGAAAAGCACTATGTGGATCACCAAACAATGTATAACAATAATTTATATCACCAAAAAATGAGGTCGCTACTATAAACACCAACAAAGAAGAATCTAAAATTCCAGTTTTCTTCAGTTAAAAGACAGGAAGAATATACTACCAGAGCAACCCAAAGAAATCTCAGTCCTAGTTTCTGAATGATCGGGGAAATAATGCTAACTGCATCTTGAGTGCTCATAAAATCTAGCAAGTAGTGTCCTGAATCCTAAAGATGTGAAAATTAACCCCTCGATCAAATTGCCAAGCTCGAGAGAATACTAAAGCACCTTAAGCATTAAGCATCAGTGACGTAGCAGATAGTTATAAGTCAGTCTGAATGTACGTGCATGTATAAAAAATATAACCACAGAGACAAAAATCAAGTCAACTGCAACTACGGTGACATCTGACTTGTTGATGATGGTGTAAATGTTAATTTCAACTTTAATTACACTTAACATGTTCTCAGCGGAAGACATTTATAGGCAGTTAAGTCATCAGTAGCTGTCACTCACTCGCACAAAAATGCATCTGCTTCATCGATGAAAAGCAGTAGGCCCCTCTGAGATTTCTTGGCCCAATCAAACAACTGATGTATCTTTGTCACAGCCTGCGGTCCCAATGGAGCAACATCTCCACCAGTCATCAAGGCATAATCCAATCCCTGGGACAAATACAGAAACCATGAGAGAGCAGAAGAAGACAATGACTAGTATAATGTGAGATGACAATGAAAGTAAGGGAATAGAAAAACTTCCCTAACAATGGCTAACAAATATCATTTCCACATTTAACTATTAATCACACAGCTCTCTGCTAGAAATATAAAGCCAATCAAACGAAGTACTACGGAGTATATCTGCAACTGTCAAGGTAAAAAGTCTACTACAAAATTATGATGCTAAAATTCCAATTTCAGTTCGATAGGATGTGTAAGTGTGCACAAACAAAAGCACATATGCCTGGGCAACCAGCATAACCAACTAAATCTGGTAAATGAGGAGCATAACCAACTATATTACAGTGGAAGATCTCATACAGATTTCTGGGCCAATTCTCTGGCAGCCATTGTTTTTCCAGTTCCTGGAGGGCCATAAAAGAGCACGTTGCGATATGGGGCCTGATGGGATTTTGTATTGGCAGTAGCCCTGGCAAGCTGCTCGATTCTTTTAAGAAGCGAAGAGTGCAGAATCACATCGCCAAAACCCTTCCCATTATTTGATGAGGATCCTTTGTCAGATCCACGAGCTAGACTACTCATGGATCGAGTAATCACACCTGACCATGGGTACTTCCCTCGAGAGGATTCTCTGATTAGTGATGGCTGTCCCAAAATTCTATCCACATAACTCCATATAACCCTTGCACCTTCTCTGTAAAAGAAAAGAGAAACCGCATGAGATGATGCATGTGAAGTGCGGCATGCAGCATTAGTAAATCAAACTCCTCCACTGTTTTTGTGAATGAGTGAGGCAATTTCATTATCCATATACCAGCAAAGCAGGATTAATGTCAGTTACAGTACAGTATTGTAGTTGCAATCAAATCATATTGTCCTTACAACTTAATTCCAAACATAAACCAAACTTCTGTTAAGATGTCTTGGAAATTTGAATCAGCAAGAATAACAAGATATCCTGACAAGACAGCAAAGAAGCTCTTTTTTTACTCCAAATGTACAAATTATCTATGATGAAGAATGTGCAAATACTTGATTTCGGCCAGTAAACCAGCAGATTGGATAGAAACCTCATGGTCCAGCCAAGAACAGAAGTAACGACCATATCCTAAAAGTAAGATGAGAAAACGCCAAGGAGATATTCTTTACACACCTTGTCGTATAGATCCCTGCTGCAAGAGCTGTGACTCCCCCAACTGCTACTACCAACTTATTTTGATCTGTCAAAATGGCCCGCAAACCACCTACAGAAGAAAAGTGGTCATCAATAATCCACACTTCCCAAGAAACAAGAACCATCTGTGTCACACAGGACAAATAAGCAAAGAAAAGCAGAGATCAAATTCGCAGGTTTGGTAGCCCTGTTCCTAATATGCCCCATATAAATACAGAAAGCAGAACAGCAATATTGACAGTATTAAAACAAATGGACGTTTTCTGATTGACACTCAGGGCAAGTTACTGATATATACCTCCGATGTGGTCAAAAGTTGCATTTATAGCGGCAACCCATTTTTCTCTTTCTGCATTGGCACGATCTACTAGTATGCGCCTGTTAACCTCTTCAGCTAGCTTTGCCTCATGAGCTCTACCTTCTGCTTCAGCCATGGCCCTCACTCTGATTGTTTCCCTCTCGATTTCAGCCTTTTCCCTCTCTGTTTGGCGTCGTTGTGCCTGAATCTGCTCTTCCGTTGCTCGTCGAGCTTGCTCCTGTCTAATTGATGATTCTTCTTGTAGCTTCACAAGCTCCTGATTCCTAGCTCTATGGTACTCATTTTCAGCCTGTAATTGGAATCAACACTCAAACCTCCGTGTAACAATAATTCCAGCAATACCATCAAGAACCTCATCACTTGCCTGCATTCTCTTCCTTGCCAACTCGTCTTCATAGCGGGCCATTTGAGACTTTGTTTGTGCTTGAAATTGTGCTAACTTTTTCTGCTCATCATACACTACCCTTTGTCTCTCCTGCAAATGGAACAGGAACAACGTCACTTGAAGAAACAATGAATATTTTCCAATCGGAAGAAATCCAAAGCAGAGAACAAAGACGTATGCTTCCCACAATATCAGTGATTGATATGCTCATTGAAAAGCAGAGGACAATCTCCTTACCTACTAATAAAAAACTGCTAAGTTAAGGACCAAAATCCAGAAAAAGAAATCCTTTAATTTAAGGATTTCTACAAGTACTGAAAAAAAGCAGACGACTTAAAAGCGTCAGCTTGTTCGTTTCATACTCCAGATTTCACTCAATTGAGAAGAACCACAGACTATTTCTATTGTCATGAAATATATGTAATCGGGAAACTCACTTACAGTTTCAGCCTGAGCTTGCATTGCCTTAAACTCAGCAGTCTTTGAAGACAACTCAGCTTGCTTTGTTTCCTCTTGCTTCTTCATTAATTCAAACGCCTATGTAACAGAAGCAAAGCCACCCATTAGAATACCCACAAAGAGTCCGACACAAAGAAGCAACGTGATACAAAAATCAGAACATGCTCTCTCTACCCAGATAGCATACTCTCAAAAGTCATGTGCATCACAGCAGCACACGGCAGAGAAACTACAAAGCAGAGAACTTTCCGGATACAACAAAAACTAGCCAGCAAAGTTGCAACCTTTTTAGCATGAGAAGAGCTATTGATCTCCCTGATAGCCTTGGCACCACGCTCGAGCGCCTCGGGATCAAACCCGGCGGACGAGGTCCTCGGCTGATCATTTCTAACCCTAACGGGAGGCTCACTCGGCGCCGTCGGTCCCACTTCAGAGGGCGGAGGCTGTTTACCGGCAGGAGTCGGAGTCGGGGAAGGAGGCGGAGGAGGGGCACCGGCAGGAGGAGCGGAGAAAGGGTTGAAGCTGAAGGGGCCGTCGGCGTACGCGACGTTAGCGGTGGCGGAAGCAGAGAAGGCTAGGGCCGAGATTAGCCCAATTGCGCGTGCTTTCGCCATTCTCGTGAACGAGCTTAGAAGCAATTCAGTGTGGGTGCGGGGGGAGAAGCAGCGACGGGTTTATGGCCGCCGGAGTGAAAGTGGGAAGCGTATAAGAGAGGGAGGCATGGGGGCTGCGTATTGACTTGAGGGGCAAGGAAGCGAAAGAAGCCGCTGATGCTCTCACCCTCCCCCCATCTTCTTCTTCTTCTTCTTCTTCTTCGGAAGAGAGAGAGAGAGAGAGAGGAGGGTTTTGTAGGGTTTTAGGTAAGAACCGCCGACCGCGACTGCGCGCACGCTGCGAACGGCGGTTCCCCACACAACCCACAAAAAACTCTGAACCGGTCCTGTCACTTTGAACCGGATATTTTCTTTTCTTTTAATCTTTTGGCCACTAAATTATGCAATTTTATTAGGGCCCCAAAAAACATAAATTATTACATTTTAATTGCAATTTCATTTTTGCTTGTATATTTAGATATATAGCACGGTGGCAGTACCAAGCGAGATCTAGAGAGTGACCTGACTAGAGAGAATCAAAATCTTCTAGACTATGGTGGATCTGCACATTCAACATGCCTGGGATCTTTCCACGACCAAGTTCCATGGCATTTCTTTGCAAGATTAAGATTTGCAAGGCTAATGGTACTCAGACATGCAACATATATAAATTGGCTGGTCGCCGGTCGGGAAAAGCAGGCCGGTCACTTCTCCCGCTTGGGCATTGACAATCTGCCCGAGGTTTATTTGTGGTACCCGTTCTAAACCATATCATAATATATAACAATCTTCACATGGTCCGGAAATCAAAAGGCAAACACTTTATGTACTCCGATACACAGATGAATCACATAAAAATAACATGCAAAAGTAATCCAACCGTAAAGACATGTGACTGTCCTGTATATGAAAGGTATCGACCGTTCGAGCAAACTCGGTTTTCCTCCCCACCCATCCTTCAGAGTAGCTACACGAACAAATATCGACAATAATCGAAAGGCCTACTGTCCCTATAAAACCATCTTAAAAGGTGATAAGGTCGTCCTTTTTCGATTGAGGTTTCTTTGAATCTTGCGCTCCATCTGATGACCCGCCGGTCTTCTTCCCAAAGATCATCTCATCCAGATCATCCATCATGTCATCGTTGCTCCCTCCATGGGCCCCACCTCGAAATCCGGCCGGCTTTCTAATCAGGGCATCTTCTTTTGCAAGGGCAGGCGACTCATCAGGCTCAACGGAAACTGGTATCATCGCAGGCTGAGGTCCAGCTGCAGCAACTGCGGGTTTCTGCAGCTCTTCATACTTGAGGAGCACTTTCTGGATCTCATCATTCACATTCAAGGCTTCAAATAGCAGAGCCTCATTATCTCCAGCAGTCTCGATGATCCTCTGGACAGTATATTGTGACTGACGACACTGTTGTAACAGCGTGATCGTCAAGTCATCCTGCCAACATATTGAAAAGCGAGGCTCACTTTACAACTCATATGTGTACAACTCACGGGGATTTCCCAAAGATCTGTCCAACTCATGTAAAAAGCTTATCGCAAAAGAAAGCCGCTGCCATGGAATTTTCTCTAGACAAGTGCGAAGGCATGGCCAACACAACAGAAAACTTCCTTTAGAACTAAATTCTCTAATGATGCACCACCTGGAATGTGAAAACCTCATTTGCAGAGCACTTGAAAGATGACATCTGTGGTCTGGATACAGTTATATGACACAAAATCAAGATGAGGGCACATATTTTCACAAGTTACATAGGCTATGAGAAACGTCCACGCAGCACTTCCGATGCAAAGAGGCTACCGCGATATCCACCTTGATTAACAGGCAATAGGATCCACAATCTTTCTTTTGGAATTTGCACTAAATACAAATCAGCGATGCCAATTCATGTTTCGCATATTGAAGGTGTAGATACAAAATGAACTTTGCCAGTTAAAATGAAATAAATGACTCCTCAAGAGTCAGTCAGAAAGGTGTAGAAGGAAATTTGAGGTGTACGTGAGAGAGCAACGATCAACAAACACAATGACGATAGATCCAGAAAAAAATCAGAAAAGGCGAGATTTTTTTGGCCAGTGGGCGAGATTTAGGTTGGAGAACCAGTAATCTATGAGTAAAGACATTATAGATTGCTAACAAACAGCTTAAAGGATGGCACGCGAAGATAGTTCCCACTCATTCATCTCAGCCACTAATAAACAACAGGTGCACCATATAATACAACCTCACTTAATTTTGCGTAGTCAAATTAACATTAAATGCAGACTGCTCCTATAGAAAAAAGCATGAGCATACTAAAACTGTCTTATACAACAAGCATTCAAACGCCCCATATTAACAAGATTTGTCATAGAACTTTACTAGTGAATTGGAACTCAAATTGCTTAAAACAAGCATCCTAATTGGCCCAGCATCAACAAAATTTGCCGTAGAACTTTACTAGCGAATGGAATCGTAACAAGATTCAGCATGCAGATTGAGACTTCTAACACAATAACTTTGCAAATGTTGGAGACAGCCAGTGAAATGGTCATTCAAATCCACTTAATCAATGACAATGAAGATCTTAAAAAACTCTTACCAAGTTGAGACCCGTTCACGAAAAGAGGAAATCAGGAAATTTTAAAACTAAAGTACCTTCAAAGCATCTTGTTCGGGCGAAGAGGATAAAACTGTCGTGAGAAGCTCTATGCTGTTTCTTGCAACATCAAATGCTTCCTTCGTCTGTTCTGCGGAAAAGGTCTGGACAGGGACTTCAAGCTCCACCTGTTGAGCAAGATCAAAATCTTCTTCTGGAGCCGTGGCTGACCGAGGAGGGGTAAAGATCGGTGCCAGACTCTCATTGTCACGGCCAGGGAATCGGATGCCCCTTGATTTTAAGCTCTGATATGCACATCAACAACAGTAGGGGATACGTAAACAAATCCACCAGTTTTTTCCTTAAAGAGTGAAGAGACTCAAATGCGACAGATCAAAACCAACGAGTAAAGTGAAAATAGAGAATGGATAATAAAGGGACCAGGGATGCTAAAGATTGGCATGCTCAACCTCCACAAGTGATCTGAGGAAATACAGCTCCACAGACTGACTAAGACAACAATGATGCTGAAGGACGGGAAACAAAGTAGAAGAGCAAAGACTGGGAAGGAACACTGAACTAAACAGGCAGAGTTGTCTCCAGCTCTTAGCCACTTAGGCAAAATGCTGTCAAATAACGTAATCAAACCAGTCCTATTCGATCATGAGTAATATGACTCCACAATAAAAGAAAAAAACAGATTAACTTTTGCTTAACCATAACAAGAGTTCCAAAACATCCGCATACTTCAACCTTCTCCATCCTCTCACTTTCTACACAAGAGAATGATCAGAAATGGTTCCTTAAACTGAATTACAAGACTCGTTGAAAAGGCTGATAAATTTATCCAGTCTTCGATTTGCACAAGATCCTTTCCTTGCCCAAACAAAACAATCCCCAACTCATTATGAATTCTACTTCTCAGTCATCTCAAGTGGCTTGGTGCAAATTAAATTGTGTCTGATTTAAATTAAGTCACAAGGCGAAAACTACCATACTGTGACACAACATCGCCCGAAAACAACATGAAGATAAACACCACCCCAGAGTAAGGAAATCAAACTGAGTGAAGTGTTGCAGATTAAAGAACACAATAGGATTATCATAATACTATCTACAATTACCTAGGAAGTCAATATCAGAACAGTGCGATTAATGGAAAATAAAAAAAAAATTGTAATCAGGATTTCTTTTGGTAATCAGGATCGACAAAGTCCCATTTAACTTTTAATTCATTCTTTTGCTATTACTCTTTCTAAAGAACAAAGATTCGCCGAACAAAATTAGTCATCCTCAGCAAATGAGCAGAATTCGGTAGCGTGATCAGCCACTGACACTAGCCTGCAGTAAATATTCCAAAAAAGATGAGGTAATAATATACCTTGTATGTTTCCTCATAAACAGGAAGATAGCGGAGCTCACTGGTTGACTCTCCCCATGCTTCAATCAACGTCAAAGCTTTGTTCCGATTGTTAACCACAGTCTGGGGATCATCAATAAGCTTCACCATCTCATCAAGAACTCTCTCAGCCGCAACCTCTGAGAATGCTTTCTCGCAGTTCTTGACACAAGTTTCTAGCAAAACCAAGGCCAAGAACTGACTCCTCGGACTCTTCATCATGATCCGCTTCTTTACACCCCGAACCAACTCGACGCTATTAATCCTTTCGTGATTAATCATGTCACAAATTTCCAGATTCATGGCCCAGTCAGGCTCGTCGAGATTTTCCGAAGTGGCATCTTCGACGAACTTGTCGGCTTGGTTGGGTCCCTGGAAAAGCTCCTTGACCTTGAAGCTCACGGAGCTCATGCCGGCGCTCATCTTCCGGGTGACCTCAGCCCCACCGATCTTGAGACGCTCCCCGAGGGCAGTCACTTTCTCCATCAAATTATCACTCATGTTCGCGGGCAATTGAGAATGAGAAAAGGGCTGCCTCGATCCGCAGTATCCAAGACAACAAAGGTCAGCAACCAAACAGAGCGAAAAGTCAAAAGAATCGAATTTTCGAACAGCTAGACGAGGCCCAGAAACAGACTCGACGCATTAAAAAAACCCTACTGATTCTAAACAAGGATAGAGCGAGAAAGACTCGGGAATAGCAATCGGTTCCCGTGTTCTTGATACGTGTCAAGGGGCAGAAAACCCCAAATCCATTACGGCACGAAGAAGACAAAATCACGCTCTCCAATTCAGCAAAGCACCGGCCTTTGCACTTCCGGAGAGCTGCAATCCAGACGATCGAGGACAGGGGATCAGATCAGAGTAAGCTTGTTACCTGTGAGACAGCGAGTTCGAGGAAGAAGGAAGCTGAATTGGAAGGTCAATTCGAACGTGAGCTCCGCGACTGGGGAGGACGAAGTTTGAGTCCCCTTCTTTTCCACGCTTTCTTTCGTCTCCCCCTTCAAAGCCTGAATTGAAACTTCTCTCTCTTCTCTCTCTATTTTAATACGTACGTTCGTTCGTTCGTTTCATCGTATATACGATATTAAAGCGAGAGGCGGGGTTTCCGTGCGAGCGGGCATCGCGTCCTCATCGTGGAGATTCGCCGCACATCGACGATTTAGAAGATTTCCCGGCCATTCGACGGTCCTGATTGTTTGATGGTCGCGCGAGAGAGAGTGAGGCGTCGACGCAGGGCATTTCTTCTTCCGCTGTGGGACTTGTCAAAGTCAAAGTTGTTGCCTGTTGGGTCCCCCGATTCCTCTCGTTAGCGACCGTCCGATGTGCATCCTCTTTTGCCCCGCTCTCACGCAATTGCGTCAAACCTTGGAAAAGTTAAAAGAATGCCCTCGCTTTTATGTGGAATGTTGCCGCGACCCAAACCCACTTGATCCCGTGCATCTTTACTGTAATGACACGGTACGTTCTACATGGGTCAAGCTCAAAAAGAGTAATTTGAGTAACTGTACAATGTGGTGACTATTTGACATTGACATTGACTCGTGAATCATTGAATTGACCTTCATCATTTAATGTGGTCTTGCGATGTTACAAGCTCTCTTGTCTAAGCAATTGACGTTCTCTCTATTCAATGCGTGGTCCGATCCATTCCTGTCTATTAGGAGCCGCACTTTGTTCGGGCTCCCTCACCCCGAAAATTAGTAACCGTGCTCGTTAGATGAGGTATTGTCCTAATTAGTCGCCCTCAAAATTAGTCGCCCTCGCTGGACCCTCGCCCAGGTCGCGAGGGTCCAGCCCTCACCAAATCCAGCGAGTGCCGCGACGCCATCGCCGGCTCTGGCGACCTGGCCATGGGCCAAGGAAAGAGAGGAAGAAAAAAGAAAAGAAAAGAAAAGGAAAAAAAAATTAAAAATTATTAATAAAAAGAAATTCTGTGTAGTTACCAAACGCATTTTTATTTTTTTTCTATTATAGAAATATAAATTTTGGGTAGTTACTAAACACTTTCAAATGCTTAGAAATTGTTTCCGAGAATATAATAAAAAAAATCATTTCTGAGCAGAAAATTATTTTCGAGAACAAAATGGTTACCAAATCCACCCTAACAAATTTGATTGTCAGCCAAAATTGAAATGTTCCTACCATGTTCTAAAACCCGATAGGAGCTATTGGGTCCAGTCAGACGGCCGACGATCAAGGATTGAGGAGGATCGTCGGCCATAATCAGTCGTCCAACGGCTCTCGTTAAGGGCCCGACAAGCTCGCCGACACTGTAGAAAGGCCGACTTCGTTTTCGGGCTTATGTTACGGCTGCGTTTGGTACAGCATTGGGAAGGGGCTTTCAGCCCCGAAAGCCCCTTCCCAAAAATGCTGAACCAAACGGTTAGCATTGAGCATTGAAAATGCTCAAAACTAGCATTTTCAATGCTGAAAGCCCAATGCTATCAGGACTAGCTTTGGACTTTCAGCCTTGAACCAAATGCCAAAATCATTTTTATACTTCCCAAACTACCCTCACTCAAATTTCAATATTCCGGCTTTGCCCTCTCGTTACTGTTCATCTTCTTCACCAAAGGGACTCCGGCGAGGGCAAAGGGCCTGAGCGACGGCGAAGGTCCCGCGAGGTCGCCCGACCCAGCGACGGCCGCCCGGGTCGGCGATCGCCCTGTGCGCGGCCGCTCTGGGGTCGGGCGAAGCCTAGTAAGTGCGGCCGCCTGGTCCCGCGACCTCGAGCGGCCGTCGGCACTCGGGTCGCGACCCAGAGGGCGGCCGTCGGCTGGGGTCGCGACCCAGCGGGCGGCCGTCGGCTCGGGTCAGCGCGACCCAGCGGGCCGTCGGCCCTGAGGTCGCGCGACCTCGAGCCGGCCTCGCCCGAGGTCGGCGCCTCGCCGGGGTCGCTCGGCATGACGGGCGACGGCCGCGGCGCGCAGATCCGCTGCCGCGGCCGTAGCCCTTGGCCGGAGCCGTAGCCCTTCACCGGAGCCGGCGAAGGGTATTTTTGCCTTTTTTAAAAAACACTCTCAAAGCCCATTTGTAAAAAAAAATTAACCAAACACTACTTGGGTCAAAATAGCTTTGCAAATGAGTTTTTACCAAACGCCATTTGCATTTTTTCTAAAGGGCTTCCACCCAAAGGCATTTGCATTCCCAAAGTAGCATTCCAAATGCTGTACCAAACGCACCCTACATCGGCTAATCCGAAAATGGTGAAACCGGGCCGACCCGATCCTCAGCATGCTGCGTTTGCATTTTGCTCGTACAGAAGGTGAAGGGGTGCAGCAGCTTCCAGCCTTCCTCTTTCATTGCCGTGATTCCTCCACACACACACACACACACTGCTTTTGAGCGCCCTGGAGTGGAGTGGAGTGGAAGATTTGAACCAGAGATAACCCTAGACCAAAAGGGCATTGATATGTCAACGGGAGTCGTCCAGGTGTTATCTCTGGTTCTTGCCCTTTTGGTCTAGGGTTTCTTCTCTTGGATGCGGATCGTATCGTCCCTCCTCTACTACCATACCACCAGGTGCCCCTCTCCTCCCTTGCTTAATCAAATCTTGTGGATGGATGGATGGGATGGACTTTGCTCATCACTTTTGACTGTTTACCCTAGCCTTCTGCGAATGACTATGCACGCTGCTTCCTACGTGTGGCACTTTGTTTGCTCAAATTCGTCTTAAACATCAACCGCTCCTTTCCTCGAGATCCCAAGAAATGGGGCCTAATTGCATTCGGGTAGCTTTTAGTTTTATCTAGATTCGCCACGTGGAGCTTAGTTACCGAATCAGTCATTTTTTTCTTTCCTATTGCAAGAGTTCATGTTCCCCCTCGCGGTTAGCATGCTGTATGAATTTGTCTCAGCTGTCAATCAGGAGCAATGCCAGAGAATCTACTAGCCAATCACCTAAATGTGTATTTATACCTCGAAGTGGCGCTCTCTCAGTAGCCATCTATCTCCTCTTCGAATTGAAATTGCATAGTTCATCTCAATTAGAACATTGTTTATGAGGATTTCAATTTGTTTTTCGGTTTCTCTTTTGGTCGGAACTTGAGTATAGCACAGAGGGCTTGAACTTTGGATTCGCACGTGATGGATTTAACATGGCTAAGTGCCATTATAGTTGGGGCGGGATGCCTTGCTCTGGGATACTATCTTGGTGCATATCACCCTTCTCGCATCTTGATCACCGCTAGAGCATCCAAAGGCTCATCTGCTGCTACTGGGAGCAAGAAGAATAAGCCAAAAGATCCTCTAGAGGTTGAGAATTTGGCTGAGATTTTAGAAGATTTTAAAATGGTATTACCTCTCTCTCTCTCTCTCCCCTTTGCTTTGCATTCGTGCAGAAAGTTGAAGATTTTTGTTTTGTACGAGAAAATATATGAACATGTATGTCTGTCTATCTCCAGGTTTTGGTTGTGAGGAATGATCTAAAGATGGGAAAAGGGAAGATTGCCGCCCAGTGTAGGTATGTAAAAACTGACCAACATCCCCCATTTTGGCTTCATCATAAGCGGTTGGAGTTCACCAGGAGATTTTGGATAGCTTCTGTGTAATTACTCATTTACTAGGCTTCCTGAAGAGTGGCCAATTTACTTGGGTGGACCTGCTAAGCCTTACCTAATCCCCTAATGTGACGTGGCATACCATCCTGTCTGTAATGTAATTCTTTTGTATTCATTGACAGTCATGCGACTTTGGGTCTCTATAAAAAGCTCCTACGCCGTGCACCAAAAGCTTTAGACAGGTGCTGTTTCCACCGATTAATTTACCATTTCAGTGATCATATGATTAAAGCAGTCATTCTCTAAGTTATCAAGAAGTATTGCCAAACTTGCAGGTGGGAGATGTGTGCGCAGCCTAAGGTGGTTGTCAAAATCGAGAGTGAGGAAGATATGCTTGCTTTGCAAGTTAGTACAGACCATATATACTCTATCTGCACTTATTGTTCTTGTTCGCATGCTTGTTTATTACTTTTGTAGAATGCAAAAAGAATTTGAGTTAATTATACTATCATACGGTGAAAGCAAAAAGCTGCAGCTAGCTGCACCTCTTAAAATTTCCCTGAATATTGAAAAGACTTACCTACAATGATCAAACTAGTGATTGGGTTCAGAAATTTTTATGTCGATATTTCCTATTTTATGCTCTATTAACACAGGTCACTGGCTAAAAAAACTTTGGAATTAGAGTAATAGATTCCTCCCAATAAGTAGTTTCTAGATTGTCGCGCATTTGTCATCAATAAGCAGCTCTTGGAGTAACTATTTGTCAGATGTTTCTGGTTGACCATATGGCCACACTCCCCTCCCTCCATCCCCCACAGGCTGTAATTAGATTATTCTTGTATTATACTGACAGGAAAGGGCGAAATCACTTAAATTACCGACCCATATTACAATTGATGCAGGGAGGACACAAATTGCACCAAGTGAGTTGAAAAGTCAAATTTCTCGAATTATATGGTTTTACAGTTCTTGTTGTCATGACAATGTGGAATAATACCTTGCCGATGTAATTTCTCAGAATGATATCTACAGTTCTGCTTTTATATTTTATATGGGATTAATTCATACAATTTTGAAAGAAGTTAGGGGTAATACACCGTCATCAAGCAGGCAATGTTGGTTTGGAAATTTCTTAAGCAGTATAAAGAATTACTAGGAGGAATGTTTATGCTGTGGTTGATGGGAGCAGATTTCTGTTATTGGTTCATCCAGATACGTTGAGTGTAGTGACTCTAGATAGGAGAGCCTTATATTGATTGTAGTGATGATGGGTGTCAGACCTTGAACTAGCCCTTATGTGAAGGCAGCATGAACATGATGAAAGGAGATTGAGGATGAAAATCAATATTTGCTTAGTGAAATGACAAAGGCTAATGATGGGAAGAATCAGCAATTTGAAGTCAGTTGTAGTTTCCGATGGGACTGTGGTAGTCACTCCAGGAAGAAAACTTAATTACATCGAACTTGAACTACTTTAAGAAATATATCGATTTGATGAGTTTTGCCATGGTGGTTTGTTCAATCCTGCTTGTGTCTGTGGTGATTCTTTCTTTCGGTGATTGTATCTAAGCTTTACGGTCTCGTTGATCCAGCGGACTTTTGGGGATTGCATAAATGGCCATATTAATGAATACCAATATAGGGGCCTATAGATGGTTCTTTAGAAGGCCTATTGTTATAGTCTTCCATGGGCTGAACATTATCACTGCTGGCAATCACAAAGAAGTCAATCTTAGTGGTTAATCGTTCTTTCTTTTTTCTACTACACATTGTACAAATCCTGCTTTGATAATTTGTTCCAGTTGATGATTTACACTCTTTTCTGAATGTTTTGTTCTTTTCAATGCAGATTCAAGGACCGTGATGGCTATTCTTGGTAAGATTTTCCTTCCAGTCACATGCCGTCCGCTTGCTCTTTGAACAGAATGTGGGAAGTCCCTGATAACCCTTGGGATGTCATGCTGATAAGAGTTTTCAACATCTTGTCCTTGAGCTGCAGCCAAGTGTTGACATATTCTCATGAACTTTTTGCAGGACCAGTTGAAGTCGTCGATGATGTGACTGGTGGACTGAAACTTTTGTAGCAAGTTCTTGTTCAAAGTGGCCACATGTTTTGCAACAGGAAAGACAAACTGCTATCATAATAGGAAGGAACAATTATGAATCGATGAGAAAGCAATATGAGTCCTCCATGGTTGTCCCTTGAAATCTGTCTTTTGGCAGGCACAAATGATAGCAATGACGACAAGAAAGTTTTAGGTCCAATTCAATTTATGCACGCGCTTGGGAGCTAAATATTATGTTTTGCAAAATGCCGGGTGATGTGCATTGGAAAAAGAAGATATGCTCTCAAAACTTGATTTCTTTTCCTTGATCTGGATTCAGCGGTGCACTTTGATGAAAACTTTTTTCTTTTTGGTTGGAAGACTTTGAATACGTGGACTGAGTTGCAATTATCCTTCACGCAATCTCACAAGGCCTCTAAATCGAACCGTGTGATTCTTGTTTGTGCTGATGGAAAGCTTGTGAAGAAATAAAGGAGTTTGCAAGAGCTACTACTAGCCAACCCCAATGATCAAACGCAAGGGAAGGAAAGCAAGACACATATGATTTTCTGTTTTTGTTTTGTGGTTTTTTATTTTGGCCGGTTCATACGTTCTCTTTCAAAATGGGGCTGTCCCGGTGAAGCATTATTTCTTAAAATATTGTTTGGGATCGATATAAACCACACTTGTAAAGAGGATGCTTCCTCGCTGTCCGAGAATTGTAGAGACAATAGAAGAAATGGGTGTGAGAAATGGCAAAATCGTGGTGAGGCGAACCATCTTTCTTTTCCACAACCTCCAAATGCAAATGAAGTGGCAAGTGTGGTAAGGTTCGGTTTGAGGGATCAATTGTGATACCCTCTCGGATGACTGACATTTCCTCCACCGAGACGGCAGTTTTGGCTTTTGATCAAAATGGTTTAATCTGGGCACGGAGCAACGACCCCATATTATATTATATCATCACACCTAACTTCAATTCTACAATTAAGAAGAGTATGCGTTGACATACAGGGGGACCATACGTTATACAACATCTATCTATGTTATTGGTTATTCTCTTGCCGTCGTAGTCAAGCTTTTTGGAGGTTAGCTTTTGTTCAGAGATTCGATCATCTAGCTAAATGGCGGGTTGAATAGGTCAATTGAGCTCTTAATTATTATTATTATTCTCTTGAAAATTCGTTCACCGTATTGGGTAATCGAGTCTATCCAAGTGAAGCTTTTTCCTAACAGCTTTCGTCACCGAGACAATACCATAACGATTGATGTTAGACAAGGAGCCAAAAAGAAAGGATTGGAGAAAGATCTGATTCGGTCGTGAAAGCCAAAACGGTGAACGTTCACTGATGGAGACAGAAAGGATCATTGGGGAGGCGGAGCTCCTGGAGATGGGTGATGATCATCTAGGATTCATGCAGACTCAGTCCTATCGTCGTTTTTATTGACGGAGAGAAACAAATCTGAGAATAGATTACTCGAGAGTGGGAGGATGAGCGGCGGTCTGGGAAAGGGAAAGGAAGCAGTGAAGCTGGACGACGAGCAGCTGGCCGAGCTGAGGGAGATATTTAGGTCGTTCGACCGGAACAATGATGGCAGCCTGACGCAACTGGAGCTGGGGTCGCTCCTCCGGTCACTGGGGCTGAAGCCAAGCCCCGATCAGCTGGAGGCTCTCATCCAGAAGGCTGACCGGAACAGCAACGGTCTTGTCGAGTTCTCTGAGTTCGTGGCCCTGGTGGAGCCCGACCTCATTCCTGCCAAGTGCCCCTACACCGAGGACCAGCTCAAGAAGATCTTCCGCATGTTTGACAGGGATGGCAATGGATACATCACGGCTGCCGAGCTCGCTCACTCCATGGCCAAGTTGGGGCATGCCCTCACCGCTGAGGAGCTGACGGGGATGATCAAGGAGGCCGACACCGACGGTGACGGATGCATCAATTTTCAGGAGTTTGTCCAGGCCATCACTTCTGCTGCCTTTGACAATTCCTGGGGTTAGCATTCCAACAACTAGAATCAATTAACATATTGTCGCAACCTCCAATGCCGCATTGCACCATTTCTAGATTTCATATTACCTCTTTCATTGCCCTTGGATCGTGTCTAATCTCGTTCCGTTATCGATAACGTTGTCATGAAAAGGAACCAGAATGTGAAGGAAGAGAAAGAAATACCTGACGAACGATTCTGGAGTATTGGTGTTTGGGTATTCTATTTGATATAAATTGGAGAATCTGTTTGATGTCTCTTTTGCAAGTCAATGATGCTCTTGCTGAATCTCATAGGGGCAGTTGCAGAAGGAATACACTTCATGGCGATGCGTGTGGTACGAAGTCGTCTTGTTTTTTTATGATTCATCATAGCAAGGAACTTTGATTTTTGCCATTCAATCAATCAGCAACTAGTTTCCATTAGCTACAGTCTCTCACCTAACCCTGTAAATGGGATCATCGCCTTCAAGATTTTTAATGTCAGGCTTATGTTTGAACTGAAGCAAAGTAGAATTTCACGAACCCTTTCATGTTATCTGAACATTCCTGTATCTCAACTCAAGATTGGTGGGATGTATATAAACACCTGACGTGCATGCTTCTGCAATCTTCGAATTTGAATTTTCATAGTGCTGGACTTTTCCCAAACAAGGAATTCCAGTAAAACAGAGAACTGCGCTCTTTAATCCTTTCAAAGACTGTAATCTACAATAGAGTTCTTAGTTCTACATGCCCTATAGCGACTTTTCGACATCCTTTCGACAAAGTGAAAGAAAAAGAGAAGTCATCAAGGGAGATCTTCACTCAGAAGCAATGCATAAGCTTTGCAAAACAAGAGAATCACCAGCAGTTGATACAGAACGACACTGAGCCAGTTCACCTCATATGTCTATCTCTTCTTATATGCATCTACCATACGACATTTTCATGATTGCTCCCCAAGTTGTAACGCTGCAAACTCCATTCTCCAACCAACCCCCAAGTGAACTGCACAATCATCTACACTTCTAGGAGATCAAAGTTCCTCCATGTCTTCCGTTAGACTTAATTTGGAAGGACCTAAATCACAGGAAAGAATGCCAAATATCTCATAGATCAGGGTTTCTTTTCCTGCTCTTGTTTTTTTTTTTTTTTGGTGGGGGGGGTGCGGCGCAGGTGTTCAATGAACATCTGAAAGCCAATTGAAGTAATATATCAACATGGCAAAACCGCAAACGGTAAAACCAAACTACAATTGTGCAGTGAACGCTTGTACAAGCTACTACATGCGTCTTGCAATTATGAAAGACAGACCTATTTTAATTCAAACTCCATTGCCAACTATTCACATTACATAAATTCTAACAAATCAGAGGATCAAACCCCGAGCAGGTGGAGGCTTGGAAGATTGATCACCACCAGTAGCTTTTGGGGACTCTGACCCATGAATCTGATCATAACCTTCCAATCTTCTTGCCTGCTCTTCCTCGGCCAGAACCTTATCTTTTGTCTTCTGCCCAACATCCCCTGCAGCCTTGGCAACCTTACTGAATGCACCAGTGACCCATGAAGCCCCAGTCAGAACATAACGATTCTTCATTATGGCAGATCCAGCACTGCTAACAGTCTGCTCTGCAGCGGCAAATGCAGACTTGGTCTTCTCAGAAACTTGGAACTTTTGGTCCATCTCCCTTACTTTGTCATTCACCATGGTTGTGCCAGCAGTAATCTTCTCACTGAGACCAATCTTTTGGTCGATAGAAGCAACTTTGGCGGCGGCAGTGGAAGTGAACTGGTGCTTATCATCGAAGGCCCTTGCTTTGTTAACAGTGTCTTTGCCCAAAACGAACCCCTTGGCCAACATGCTTGTGACAACATCCTCTGCTTTTTGGACAGCGGTTCCAGATTCACCTATACTCCTGTTTTCCATAGGCTGAGAAAAATAAAATCCTTTTCCGGTCAAAACTAATCACAATACAAATAATGAGAAATTGATCTTCACAGACAGATATTACAGCTGGCCGGATGGGAACAGAAGCTGGCAGCTTGTAATCTGGAGCCGAAGCAATAGTAACAGACTGATCAACTATTGTTGCTCCCTGCATCAGATCAAAATACATGATGAGGTCGAATGCAACCAAAAGGGGGATTACACAAACCAGTGGATATATTTAAAAAATTTCATCAGGAAACAATCAAATCAAACACTCTTTTATAAGATAATATATTCTACTAAAGTAAAACACCTAAATGAGCTATGATTTGCAGGCATGAATTTCAAGACGCAGCATCCAGGTGTTGCAAAAAATAAGAAGTATAAACCAAATGATTTCAAGTTTTCAAACTCATCGCCCACTGCATTAGGTGCTTTGCACTCAGAAGTGCATGCTGGCTGTAAATAATTAAGTTTCACCGTTGCACTTTCCTTGCCCACGCGGCCACATGTTACCATGTAGACTCAATATCTACCCAAAAGCATGCGTGCTTGAAAGAACTAGTAGAACTCTTCATAGCAGAGTTGGCTGTCGAGTATAAACTGCAAGCACTTCCTAAAGGAGGATAGTGCTTTGATTTTTCCTGCTAATATATGAAGAGCAGAGCAACAGAAAAATTAAGTCGAACGCATACCGACAGAAGAACAGCAGTCTCTGCGCCTTGGGGATCCTTGAAGGTCACATATGCGACTTGAGAACGCTCATCGCCGCTGAAAGAGGAAAAAGGTAAGCATGAACCTCCATGGGAATCTAGTATGTGCTAAAATTGCAAAAAGTCTTCACTATCATCAAAAGGGAGACCGATATGCAATGAAACAAAAAAACTCGAAAAAACAACGGTTTTAGAGTCCCTTGTTTAATATCCTGCAAATGAGGACAACAAATATAGAAAGAAGGTAACCTCAGATAATAAGCATCTAGAAAAATGAAAGCTAACCTTTGCATTTCAACATGTTCGATTTCACCTGAAAACGAAAAGAACTCCTTTATATCCAGCTCGGACGCGCTGAGAGAAAGATTGCTGACTTTCACGGACCTTATCTGGGAAGGAGTAGCAGAAAGTAAAACAACAACCATTTTAGCTTGGAAGGTCGCACGTTCAAAACACGAGTCCATGCATAAGACAGCTTTGCAACATTAATTACATATGTCAAGCTCTAAATTTATTCATAGCCCACCAAAAGAACAATATGTATGGAAACCCCAATGATTTCAATCTAAGAAGGCATCCAATCAGATCTCGTGCACCTGGGAGGGGGGCTTGGGGGGGATCAAGAAATGACATATTAGGGAAATGTAAGAGGAACAATCACAATCAGTCAAGCGCAACTACTTAAATCTTGAAAAACGTATACGGGACCCTCTCCCTCCTCCAGCACGCAGTCAATCGGGAATTTTCAAGGAAACCAGGCGTGGTAATCTTCTGATACAGTCAGCGCGCAAGCAACGCAAGAGCAGAATACGTGAAACTTCTCGTGGTGAAGGACGGCACGTTCAAGAAACGGCTCAATCAAAGTCGGGTAGAGAGACCCAGATTCGAATTCGGCTTCAAGCCAGACTCATACAAGAAAGATATAAACTTGAGGAACAGATGATGGAAGACTCACCGACATGGCGTGGCAACGGCCGATGGGGCGGGCGAGCAGGAAGCAACGGAGAGAAAGGAGACGACGATCCTGTTGGGGCTTATGCTATGAATCAATTCTGGGAACCGCGATGGAATATCACAAAAAGTCCGAGATAAGATCTAAAGCAAATTGAAATGAAAGCCAAGGGTGGGGGGCGCGATCAGATGTGTTACGGTGCACAGTCGACGCGGTTTTCTGTCTTGTCTTCTACACTGCACCGCAAATGGGCGTCGGGTCTTCTTCTTCGTCTTCGTCTTCTTCGTCGTCGTCTTCTTCGCTTTTTGGAGCGGCGTGTAAGTTGGGCTCTGACTTTTTAATACTCCAAATGAATCCTCGTCTCTGGTAACGATAACGGCCCTCGTACGCCTTCTCATCGCTAAAGTTATTGCCTTGGGGTTTGGGCCACCAAGGACCACACTCTTATTATTTCCTCAAACTTCAATCCATACGAAGTCAAAAGCGACGACAGACCACAAAGTTTCGGCTTGTTTTTGCGTATTCCTTAACTGGATTTTTCGTTTTTCAGCAGCCACTTCCCGGTCGTCCCATGGAAGTACAGAACTTGGCGTGTTTGGGGAGTGGTCAGATCACAGTGTTATCGTATCAAGGATGAACTTTCCTTCTAGTAATTATTTAGACGGACGTGTAGATGGACGACAAGAAAACAGGAAGATGTAATGTAATCCTGGTTTTGGCAGTGCAGCAGCAAATCAAGCTTTGATGCGAGTAGGCCCAACAACGAGAGGAAAGCCCATATCTCTCCCTGTCTCGAGAGGTGGGGGCTCAGTTCGTACGGGAGAAAGAAACGAAGAGAGAGGCTTCGTAATTGACAATTGACATTGTAACCACGACACATTACATTAACCAGCCGAAGGCCAACGAAGCTTCTTGCAGGGGTGGTGGTTGCAGGTGTGGTGCGGCGGTTGCTTCTCCCCCCCTCCGACGCTACCTCCGTTCTTTTCGGTTTTTTTTTTTTGTTGAAAAAAACACGAAACGAAAAAGGATTCGACTTTCCTCTGCTCGATTCTCCTCTCCATCTGGGTCTGTTGCTGCTTTGATCTCCTGAACATGAGTTTCCAGGATGACATAGAATCCCGCTACGGAGGAAGAAGCCCGCAATTCGACCCCTCTGCTTCTTCTCCGTCTGCTGCGACCACTCAGGCCATCGCCTCCGGGATATTCCAGATCAACACGGCCGTCGCTTCCTTCTACCGCCTCTCCAACTCCCTCGGCACTCCCAAGGATACTCTCCTCCTGCGCGACAAGCTGTCTGTTCTTGTGCTCTTGTTCTTCTCTCCTCATCATAATTGCATGCAGGCTCGATTCACCTCCCTTTTTGGCTTGTGCCTACTTTGTTATGATAAGCATTTAATCCAGGCGGACCTACCCTCCTCCTGATCACTCCTTTTTCTCCCTTGTAAAATATGGTGTTTGTTTTTCCAATTCTATCGCAAATCTGCTTGACTAGATTCCACTCCACTCCGTTGACTTCCATTGCAGGCACAAAACGAGACAGCGGATTAGCCAGCTGGTGAAGGATACTTCGGTTAAACTCAAGGAAGCTAGCCAAGCTGATCACGATGCCGAAATCAGCGTATGTCTCCTTGGACATCACCTCCCATATCATGTCTCTGGCATTTCATCCTTCCCCTGCATCCTCGCAGGCTTGTCCGCTGCTTGCCAGCTGTCTGTCTGCCTCTAATGCTCCTGCAGATTTGTGTAGATAACGTAGGAATGGTCGGTCCACACGTTATATATGTCGATCCTGTTAAAGGGGAAACCGCCCCTAATAGTAATACAGAGGAAAAAACCTTTTTGCTGTAGCTGGAGGTGGTACTGACTGCTTTCTTTAACTGCAGCCCGCGAAGAAAATAGCCGATGCAAAGCTTGCAAAAGATTTCCAATCAGTCTTGAAGGAATTCCAGAAAGCACAAAGACTCGCAGCCGAGAGGGAATCAACATATGCTCCTTCTGTTCCTAGAGAATTTGTTTCATCCAGGTCCTTGTTACGCACATTGTTTGTTCAAAAGAAAGCCCTCTTCTGGGTTAATTTTCGAGTCTAACCATGCAGAAACTTTTCTTACTGAGAACTATAACAAGCCAGTGGAGACGCTCCTTAAATTTTCCCCTGATAGCACCATCTGGTATTGGTTTTCAAATATCTACTTTTGTTCAAATGTTAAATGATCCTTCAATTGGGGAATGATGTTTTATACTGGTATGTTTGGGGTAAGTTGGCTCGTCATCCTCGGGTTTTGGTATATTATTGGAAAATATGACTTACTTTAACGAAGTTATTGATGGCCCGGATACTTGTAATTTGATCTCAATTGCATATTTTTCAAAAAACAGTTACACTGGTCAAGAGGTGGAGATAAGCTCATCCAGGAGTTCTGAACAGCAGTCTCTTCTTCTAGAGCCAAAAAGGTTAGGAAAGTTGTGTCCTGCACTGCCTTCTTCAAATGAAATGCCAACTCTTCTACTCTGAAGAACTATGGAGGTTTGTTGTTTTGGCATGTTCAAGTAATATGTTATTCGTCACTGCATTTCCTGGAAGAGGCCTTTGGAGTCAATTTAACCCATAGCCCAAAACACCATGGTCCTCCTGGTTCGGATAGTAAAATGGGAAATTAAGCAAAGTGGAAGCTTTGATTTAGGGTAGAGCAGGCAGACAGAGACAAGCCCTTAAATTTGATGCATTGTGCAGATTCTAGCTTTTCATCTGGGTTTCACGACAGGTTTAAGCAACTTGTCTGATCAGTTCTCTCACAAGAAGAAATCTCGGTGTCTCCTTTACTTCTTATTAATATGGATCAGTTGGTGGATTATCTCCACTCTGAAACATGGGTAACGTTTGATGGTTTCAGGGAAGAAGTGATCCAGTTGGACAATGAGATTGTATTCAATGAAGCCATTATTGAAGAAAGGGAGCAAGGGATCCAAGAAATTCAACAGCAAATTAACGAGGTCCATGAGATTTTTGAGGATCTTGCTGTGCTAGTCCGTGAGCAAGGAGTTGTTATAGGTAAAGCCCCTTCTCATGAATTTTCTGGCATATAACTTTCATTTTCTGTTGAATAATCACACAAAATGCTGAACATTTGTTCTCTATAGATGACATCAGTTCCAATATAGAGAGCTCCCATGCTGCGACAGCGCTAGGCACTTCTCAACTTGTCAAGGCATCTAAACTTCAAAAATCGACTTCGTCCATGGTAAAGTATCCATTTGACTTGACCTCTTGAGTTATGGTGTTTATTATTTATGCAGACGTAGTTTCAGGTATGGGGGTAATGTCTAGTTCCAGACAAGTTTGTAGCTCCTTATCCATGGATTTGATTGGCATGCTCTTGACAAGGACTTTTCGCCACTCCCCCTTGCCTAATATCTTAATACGAATGTGAATGTTCTTGACAAACACCAATAACTAGGATTTACTTTTCCTTCGTGCCCTCCATTTTCCAAACCGCTTTCTGTTGCTTAGGGCAAAACAGTTGTGTCCCAGTAAATTTTTTTTGGGAGGATAATTATTTGATTCTCTTAGTTGCAAAACTTCCTTGGTGCACCGAGTGAGAAACTCAAGCAAGGCATCAGCCTAAGCGTTCTGTGGTTCCTGGTGCTGTGAAACACATAATCAGTCAATCACATCTAGGCTGGTCAGATTTGGCATGTGATTATGATGGATATTCTTTGTCCTTATAATTTGTTTGGCCAAAATTCAGTTGATCCTTTTGATTTTCTGACATTAGAATGCAGATTGAGCGGAGCTTCTAATTATGCAGGGTTGTCTACTCCTGGTGATTTTTGGAATCGTTTTACTGATTGTTGTTATAGTAGTCGTGGCATGAATATCTGAATTGTCCAGTCGTTGTTTTCACCATACGAGGGCATTGCCTGTTGCGCACAACAGTATGCAGTGTATATAATGCTTGTAAATGTACAGCACGATAAAAAGTGGGATGAATGTATCCGTTGGAGACTGAAAATGGACATGAAGAGGGAATACATACTGGCATCCCTTAAAAATTTGACATGCACCGAACCTTGCGGATAGGACACGCTGTGGTTCTCATGATTTAAGCGCATTTTAATCTGCTGCAGAATGAATCCAATAGCATGCACATGCTTGAACTCTAAGCTACGCATGCACTATAGGGAGCACATAAGTTGGAGCATCCCTCTCTCTCTCTCTCTCTCTCTCTCTCTCTCTCTCTCTGTTTTGATATACGCTGTATCACCATTCTAATAGCTCATACAAGAGGCCATCGTTCTTACTGGAAGTGGCAATAGTCAGATATATCGTACTGCATTTGTCAGCATAAACATCAGTACCGCATCCCCAATCTCACGAGATGATTTACAGCTTTCTAGCATACAAAAGATATATGCATTTCTCAGCGCAACTTCCTTCACAGCATAATGTTCATCCCTTTGCAATTCGTTTTTGCCAAAACCGTACCAACTAACACAGTTACCCTGTTAAGATCAAATTTGCACAACGATATATCTGTCAGCGTGGTCTTGGCCAAAATCAAAATTTACCTGCAAGGAGCTTGATTAGGCCAAAATTTTGCTATGCAGCTCTACAGAGAGCTTGCATTTACCATGTTCAATTCGATGTCACTCTAGATCTGTATTTGATCCAACTTAAAATGGTCTTTGGATTTCTCCATCGTTCTATTGCTGGAGACCGCGAAACACGCTGAAGAGAATAGCCCCATGTTCTTTGGAGGTGGAAAAAATCTAAAACGACATCAGACCCCGAAGCTTGACAATTCCGGGCGGGCAGGAACTTCAACTTCAAGCAACATTAAGACTAAGCGCCCACAATGTCGGAGTCTGAAAGTATTAGGTGAAGCATCGACATACAACTTGCAAGCCGGTCACAGGAGTAATAATTTTTGGGGACCCCAAGTCTTCTTCAAGAATACGTTGTTTACTAAATATTGCTTAATGAAATCAAAAGCTCAATTTACACAATTTTTGCCAAAAAGCAGTTGCTCCACAAGTCGAGAAAACGTGAACTTACCGTTTCATTAATGGGCACATTTGCGAAAGCATGCGCAAACAGAATCAAAACCAAACAGCCCACGAATTGTAAACTTGCAGTTCAGGTTAGTAGGTTTAGTATGGGCGACCTCAGCTCGTGTAGAGTGAAGAAAGTTAGTGGTGGCATCATCTGCCATTCACGTCGTGCATTAACATACACCTCTAGTCTGGAAGAGATTATCCAGTATACACAGTAAATAAGACCCCATCATCCTGTTATGTTGTCGGAGGTGAGATGACCCATCTGTTTGGTAAGATGATCCATGTACTGAGCCTTCTCAAATCCATTCTCCAACTTAGCGTGTGACTCTTGCTCGTTTGTGATGCCAGTTTCATGAGAGGTCGAACTAATCTCCTCAGTGTCTGCAGTAAGGGGACTTGCTGCAAGAAACTGTTCCCAGAAGACATCACTGATCGCTGGAAGCTTAGTTACATCATCCAGCATAATTTCCACATCTTGTTCAGGAGAAAAAGCATCTGACTCGACATTCATGGTCCCATCTAAAGCTGCGGACAGCGTATCCAGATAGCCAGGACTTGCAGTTTCAGAAACCAAAAAGTTTGCATCAGGGATATCTGCATTGTCCTGAGGCACTGGCATGTTTATCTCTTGAGTCAGATGTGTATTGACATGGTCTGCTGCGTATGAAGAAGATTGTGAATCAGGAACCCCAGCAAGATGACTGATGCAAAAGCCTGAATCAGCTGAACTCTTAGATGGCCCGGGTGTTGGAAAAACCTCTGCTAAGGTCACCCCAGAAGTACGGTTTGAGGAGCTCCTACTTTCCAGAGCACTGGAAGAAGGAACGTGATCGATTAAAAACGCCTCATTATTGGTTAATGATTGTTCAATCCCGGATGCGTTCATTTTCAAGATTTGACGTAGCATTGCTTTGGCTGCTTCATTCATGGAAGGTTGATACTTCACAATCTGCCCGCCTGGGGCATTTAACTTGTGGCAAACAGATGAATTTTCTTCTTCCTCTCTGGGGAGTCTCCTTTTCTTGTTAACTTCACCAATGCGCCTGTTGGTATCATTCTGTTGCTTTACGAATTGAGAAAAGAATCCAGGTCTCTGCATGGCCTTTGCAAGGAATGACATCATTTGCTGCTGCCTCTGCTCCATTACCTGAACACGCTGTCCAACATTTTGCAGCTGGTTATCCGTCGCTTGCTGCTGTTGCCTCAACCTAACAAGTTCCTGCATAAGGACATTTTTGTCCCTCTTTAGTCTTTCAACCTCTTCGTCAAGCCCGAACTTTCCCACCTCGACACAAGCTCCAACGGAAGAGCCTTGGACTTGAGGTGGTTGCTGATTATTCTGGACGTGAGAGGGTCTCCGCCTGCTGATACTCTTGAGGAGGTGCTTCTGACCTCTAAGGAAACCCTCATTTGCAAATTCGAAGCGATCAGGGTCGACCTTCCTAAACCCCTGATTCAAGACAAATTTCAGAAGATTTTTACGGAAAAAGGTCTGTGAAAAATAGAGAGCCCAGACATAATGATTGTTTCGGGAGAATTTCATTGTCGATCAACCAACAAGAAAAACAGGTCAGGTGCAACACAAGCACACAGAGTTTAGAAAGGATTCATGTATCGTAAAAGGTGACACCATCTTAAATTTTGAAAGTGATGATAAACGCCAAAAGATAGTCCTATTTCCTCTTCCGCGTGGATGGAGCAAATTTGTCCCCATCGTTGTTGCAACTAGACATCGCGGTATCCAAATGTTTTCACTTTTCACAGATAGTGTCCCAAATCCAAGGGGTTAGTTTAGTTGGGAACTTGGGAAGACAGGAGAGGCTTTGTGCCAGAGGCAGCGTACGATCTCATGTGTGATTCAGTATCCTCTAAATGTGGCATAAGTGGCTAACACAAGACATGATAAGATAAGCAGACCCAATTTAGTGAGCAGAGGCTCACCCCAAATTCTAGTGATAGGACTGAAAACAAAAAACAAATGCAGCACCCCTCTATGCATTCAGTTTGCTTCCTTTAGCATTACCTATTTGATATATTATGCAGCAGTCATATTCGGTTACTCGCGAGTAAGGGAAAACCGAGTTATGCAAAGCTATTGCGAGTGACGGTGGGGGAACATTTACACCCCGTGGTATTGAACCAATGAGATGCGAAATTCAGTAGTGAATTCATCCAACCCAACACTCGTCACTGCGTAAAGATGATGGGCATCATACCCACCCACCCACCCTAGCTAAGCAGAAACCCAGTAGCCAAGCAGCTCATTTATGCACCGTATAAGATGCGATCCTACCGAGCGGATGGAAAACGAGGAAAGAGAGAGGGGGGGAGGGAACGCACGTAAGTGTTGAGCTGGCGGACGAAGCTGGAGAAGTTGTTGTGCTTGAAATACTTGGGGAGGAGGTCGCGGGAGAACTCGGGCACGTTCCAGACGACGAAGCTGTTGTTGCCGCCGCTCCAGGAGACGACGGGGTCGGTGGAGGGGTCGTCGACCATGTCGTAGGTCTTGCTGAGGAACGGGGGCGGGGAATTGGCGGCCGCCGCGCCGTTGGTGGTGGCCGAGGCGGCGTCCTGATGGGGCTCCATTCGGGGGGAGGCGCTGACCGAGAGCATGGCGAATGCGATCGGCAGTGCGAAAACCGAATCAAAAGAGAGTTTTCATAAAATAGAGAGAGAGGGAGAGGGAGAGGATACGTACGGGAGAGCGAGAATCGGAATCAGCCGAGACGGAGGAGGAGACGCCGATCAATGACGGGATCGCATCGTCGTCGGAGGAGGAGGAAGGGGTGCAGTCGGGGGAAGGGAGTGAGGTACGGCCACTGAAATTGGGAATTTTGGAGGCTTTTTTGTAATCGTGTAGGTTTTCTGCATTTTCAGACGACGAGGAGAGCGAAGCAAAAGGACCGAAACAGGTGGACACGTGGCAGAAATAAGAGGAAAATGTCTAGAAATCGGTAGACTTTGACTTGCCCCCGCACCACACCGGTTGGGTGGGCCCCCGAGACGAATTGCCTGGAAACATCCCTCGTGGGAGGGAGGGGAAGGAGGGAGTAAAGTAATGGATTGGATTTATGACGTCATATATATGTTGTTTTTTTCCTCGTAATAATTAGGAAAATTATCAAATAAGGACCCAAAATGGGTGCCTTTTTTCAAAAGAGGACCTCAAGTGGATAAGGTATCAATTAAGGATCCAAAGTGCCAAACTAGTGTCAAATTAAGGACCTGAGCTTGCCGGCCGGCCAAATGTTCTCCGGTCGGCGACCGGCCGACATTTCCGGCACCGGAATAGGGGCAATTTTGTCCAAATTTTTTTTTTTTTTTCTTTTCTTCTTCCCCGGTCCGGCCCGCAACCGCGACGGCGGAGAGCTGAGGCGGCGAGAGCTCGCGGCGAGCTCTGCCCCTAGGACTGGGCGAGCCGGAGCTCGCCGGACCATGGCGAGCTCCGCCCAAATCCGGGCGAGCTCGAGGAGGTCGGCCTCGCCCGGATCGCGTAGTCGAGGGCCTTGGCAGGGCCGTCGCCGGAGGCGATGGTGTCGCGCGCGAGCTTGAGGAGGAAGGGCCCGAGATCCGGGTTGTCGAGGGCTGTATCGGGCGGGGGTGGGGGTGGCGGCGGAGCCCGAGGACTCCGGCGGGGGCTTCCGTGGGGAGAACTTGCGGCGGGAAGGGGAAGGGGAGGGTGCCGTGGTCGGTGAGCTCGAGCTCGCTGAGACCGATGGGAGCTCGAGCTCGCCGGCCATCTGGGCGAGCTCGGCCGGCGAGCTCTGCCCAGATCTGGGCGAGCTCCGCCTCGCCGGCCGCACGGACCATGGTGAGGCCGGCATGTGCTTGAGCTCGCCCGGATGCGGGCG